TGCCACCACAGGCAGGGAGGGGAAGGAGGGAGTCCCCCTGGAGCCCTGGAGGGTGCAACACGTGTGTCCACACAGACATGTCCTGGAATACCCACAGCAGCTTTATTTGTAAAAGCCCAAAGTGAGAGCAACACTAGTGTTCACAGCTGGCAAACGGAGGAACAGGCGTGGTCTGTGTATGCAGCGGAGTGGTGTCAGCACACGCTGCCACACGGATAGGCCCCGCAGACTTGCTCATGGAAAGAGGCCAGATGTGAAAGGCCACACAGCCTGTGATTCTGTATATATGAAGTGCCCAGAACGGGCAAAGGGAGAAAGACGGGCAGGTCAGGGGTGGCCAGGAATGGAGGAGGGGCGGTGGGGAGCGGCTGCTCAGGGTGACGGAACATTCTGAGACTGCACAGTGGAGAGTGGCGGAGACTTCATGGCCTGGGGACACGCTGAGGCTGTGCACCTGAAGTGCTAGTGTTGTGGCAGAAGCAGCACATCTCAGTTTCTAAATAAAAAGGGATCTCCAGTGGGGCGAGAGGGGACACACTCCATCGTCCCTTCAGGCAGGGCACGAGCCCCATAGGACCCCTTGGGCCCCCTCTGCCAGGGTTAGGTTTAGGGCCACAGCCCCCTCTGGCTCTTGGGCTTGGGGAGGCTGCCACAGGCAAAAGGGGACTGACCATCCCAGACATCACAGTCAGGTGATCCCAGAGCCTGTGACTGCACTGCGCAGGGGCAGCCCCTTCCCTGCCCTGCCCTGGGGGATGGAATAGGCAGGATTCCATCCCTAAGATGCATGAACCCGGCAAATCCCTCTTCTTTAAGGAGAGACTCTCAGAGGGGCCCCACCCAGCGCTGGCCCATGGGAGAACTGTGGGGAGCTCTGGTTCCACTCGCCTGGCCAGGCCCCCATCAGCCTTTAAAAATCTCTCGGTGACCCCCACCCACAGCCAGGGTGGGGCTGCAGCTCCACTGTGCGCCGTCCACCCGGCCTGCAAACAGCTGCACAGTGCGAGGAACACTGGTGGGCAGAGCCCATCCTGCAGGGCCACCACAGGAGCCCAGGGGACTGGGCAGACACCATTTCTGGATAAGTTCTGGATGCAGTGAGGAGCCCAGTTCCCTCCCGTGAAAGAGCCCTGTCCTGCCCTCTCGGGGCCCTTCCCCACGGGCTCTGTGGAATAAACCAGACACCTGCCACGTGCTGGTGCCACCCCAGTGTCGGGGACGCAGATGTGAACAAGTGGATCCAGTGCCTGCCCCCACATTTGCACGAGATACAGAAACAAACAGCCACACACACAACATGGCGTCGTGCAGTGCAGAGGGTAAAGCAGGATGGTGCTGTGTCCCTGCCAGAGAGAGGGGTGTCCCCAAGGACACATGAGCAGATCCCAGGCATCAGTACATGTCTGGAAACGACAGGGAGTCCCCAGCATGGGGTCCCAGTGGAGGACACCAGCCAGGGCCAGGGACACCTGTGCCCCAACCTCCTCCACTGCTCTGTCCAAGGAAAGTTGAACTTCACAAGCAAGAGGATGGCACTCGATAAACAGCCACATGAATGCCCTAAATTCCAACTCTTAGCAACTGTTGGTGCACGAGGGCAGATACTCCCATGCCCATTTTACAGATGAAGAAATCAAGGCACAGAGGTGAATCCCTGTGGTTCCCTCTCTGCTGTGGTCTGGATGCTTATTCTGTCCAAAGCTTGATCCCCAGTGGGGCCTTTAAGGGGTGATGGGATCGTTAGGACTGTGCCCTTGTGGATGGAGTAGTGGATTAATGGTTTAATGGGTTATCACGGGTGTGGACTGGGGGATTTATAAGGAGAGCAAGGGAGCATGTAAAAAACACTCTTGCCGTCCTCACCGTGTGACACCTTGGTCACCACAGGACTCTGCAGAGAGACTCTGCCAAGAAGGCCCTCACCAGACGTACACCCTGGACCTTGGACTCCCCAACCGCCAAAACTGTGAAAAATAAATTCCACTTCTTTATAAATTACCCAGTTTCAGGTGTACTAAGTGGCAGAAAATAGTTTGATCCATGCTGCCTCGTGCTGAGCAGACGAAGGAACGGGGCTGCAGCCGGCTGGTCAGCCTCGTGGGGATGGTGGCCGGCTTTCCCATTTCCTCAACAGAAATGAGTTACTCATGATAGGCAGCTGGGATTTTATGGTGTCCAAACCAACAGTTGGGATATTTCAAGTGTCCACATGAATGAAGAGCCAAGTGGTTCTGATGTCACAAAACCACCCCGTGTGCAAAATGACAGGAGCTGGACACACAAAGGAATCGTTTCCCGGCAGGACCATGCTTCATGGTGGATTTGATGACCACCAGTCCCAGACGCAGCAAGGAGGCTGCAGACACTGTTCTGGAGACCTGCTCTTTGTGGAGACCAGTGTGCACCTAAGAAGGGGCCAAGGATCAGGAGGGTCCCCACACGATCCCATCCAGCTCCCCAAGAGCCAAGCAAGGTGACAGACCCCCGGGTGCCTCAGCTGCAGCCAGGGTCTGCAGGGTTGATTCAGCATGGAGGGTGGGAGCAGGCAGAAAAAGCCTGCCACCAAAGACCAGTCCTGTAGATCTGGAAAGGCTCCCTACAGGGCCCACGGATCAGAGGGAAGGCTGGGGCCTGCCAAGGCAGGATGGCTAACTCACGCCACACAGACCCTTTGTGTCCTCCCCTGCCTGGCCACCTCCTGCCCCCATAACCCAGCTTGCAGCCACACCCTGCCCTTGGTCTACCTGTGGAGGTGTCAGCCCAGCACAGGCGGGGTGCTGCTCCCCAGGGCTCACCACCACCACAGGCCTGGCCCGGGCAGTGCCTGACACAGCAGTCCCAGCCAGGGGCTCCTGCAGTGACAACATCAGCTCCCATGGTGCACCCCTGAGCATAGGCCTGGGCAGCCACTCTGATGGTCTACAGTGGGCCAGGGCATCTGCATTTTCTTTAAACTCCTGGGTGATTCTGATGGGCACCAAATGTTGACAGCTGTAGTTGTGAGCACTTAGCAGGTATTTAGTGAGTGAATGAATGAGCGGTCCACCTCTGACTTTCCCAGAAGCACGTCTGTCCCCTGCTGGATCGTGTCTAGGCTCCTCCAAGCTTGGGCGAGCCTTTGCATGCACCTGCTCCGCCTCATTGCTCCCACCCTGTCCTTACCTCCCAGGGGAAGTGGGCCCAAAATTTTTCCTGCAGAGAAGCATGGCCCTGCCTGGGGCAGGTGTCGATAACACCATCACCCACTGGTGATGTGGGCAGCCTCCTTACCAACATGGAGCTGGCCCTCAGCATGTTTTTTTGGAGTAAGTACCACAAATGCTTAAAAGGACACAGGACAAAGGAGAGGACTCCTCACCGCTCACAGAGAGACTCCAGTTCACCCAGCTCTGGGTGGGACTTGAAGCACCTGAGTCTGCCTTCAACCTGCCAGGTGGGAGGCGGTGCCAACCCATGAAGAACATGCTACACACACCAAAGTCCTGAAAGAAGCGCTCTCGACCATTCCTCTTCTTGCTCCAAAACCCATTCAGCTGATGCCGACACTGTGGCCCTTGACTCCCCTGCACAGTGTACTTGAGCCGGCCGCCCAGGCAGGTTCTGTGCCCTCCCGTCTACAAATGGGCCAGTAGGGCTGTTGAGAGTTTTTGGCTGGTCCCTCCCATGGACACAGATGGCCACACCTCCCACGCCCCACCTGGTTCTCATTCTCTGCCCCCACCACTAACTTGTGTCAAACAGCCTTAAGTCCTCTTGAACAAGTGTGTAAACCTAGAAATAAACATGAGAATTAGCAACGTCTCCAGAACTGGAGAGCACAGTGACTATGTTCAAGCTAGTATATCAGAAGAGCCCAGGACGAAGCTTGCTGATCGCCCCCAGGCATTTGCTGGACTTCCACAGTCCAGACAACAGGAATCCTCGGCTTTTACATCCTGTCCTTGGGCGCGTGATGGAACCGCAGCCCAACTGCTGTGTTTAGCCACCAGACTGGACGGCCTCAGTGACAGTGTGGTGGGCCATCTCAGGGGCAGCAGAGAAGGGTAGACCCTGCTCACCCACCTTCCCCCTGGCCTGCTGGTGGATCAGAGAGGGTGAAATGCTAACGCTGAACTCCGAGGCTTTGCAAGCATCTCACCGGCCCAGGGGAAAGACAGTACTAAGTCACACTGACACAGGTGCCCTTGCTGCAGAGGGACAGCTACATGAGGAAGTCAACAAAGAGGTTCTCTGCAGAGATGAAGACGCTGGAGCCTCCAACCTCTTTCTCACTGGCAGGATGAGGGGTGGGTTCCCAACACCAGAGCTCATTTCTGGGCCTCTGACAGAGCAGGGCAGGCCCCTCCCCATTGCCCTTACACCTGGGCAGTGACCCCTCACTCTCCCAACCTGGGCCTACTGTGGGAGGGACAGAGAGGTGCCTCTGACAGCCACCATGTAGACCCAAGAGACATGGGGCCACAGTGCAAACAGCTCTGCCCAGTTTATTTAGGGCCACAACCTGGAGAACAGGTCTCAGCCTGGCATGTACACCTGAGGCCCGTGGCCAGGCCGACCTCAATGCATGTGCAAGATGGTGTGTGTGCACGTGTGCCTCTCCTGGGGGTCCACAGCCTCCTGCAGACTATCTAGGGGTCTGCTCCCTAGAGGGTGAGAACCCCGCTGTGAGGGGCACAGACTAATTCTAGATGTGTGTGCACACTGCACACACAACACGCACAGTGGCTTGAAAGCCTGGGACTTGTGTTGGAGGCCAGAGCTTGAGCCATCCGACCCATTTCCTCCGTTCTAACGCAGGGAGGGCAACACCAACCGCTCCGGACAGTCATCTGCTTTACTGAGAATATCACAAAGAATGTGCCGGAACCTCTAAAAACAATGTCACCTTGAAGAGGCACCTAGTCTGAAAATTCTGACAGGTTCATTGAAAATGACCCCACCTTCTTCCTGGGCATCAGTGTGTCATTCACAGCCAATCAACCCCCATGGGCGAGGCTTACCGTGCGGCGAGCTTGTGGCAGATGACACCGGTGTCTGTGATGACCTCACTCAGCCGCAGCTCCAGGTGGACCTTGCCCTGCAAGGACAAGGACAGGGTGTCACAGAGGATATGCTGCTCGCCTGCTGCGTGGCCACTCGCCTGCCAGGGGGTGGCCTGACCACCTGTCAACCCGCTGGCCAAAGGAACAAATGGTCTGCTCTCACTCAAATGCCCTAGAGCCTCCAACCCTCCCCAACAAGCTGCTGTGGCCCCCACAATGCCCCAGCACTCCACCGGGCACTAACAGTGCGCACAAGCAGGCTTCCGCCACCCAGGCCTCCACTGCTGTCGCACTCTGGGGCCTGGCCTCCCTGCAACCGCAGCCCACCGCATGTGGAGATGGATGAAGGTGGGCACCAGCCCTCGCCGGCTCTGCAAGCGGGGAAGGCAAATGCCAAAAGTGACACCAACACAAGCGTCTACTGTGGCTCCTTTACTGAGCGCTGGCCAGAGCTGAGGGCTCTGCGAGCTGTCACCTGCACTTCTCTGTCCCCGAGCAGTGGGCGCTGCCCTGCTTACGCTGAGGAGGCACCATTAACATCAGCACAGGACAGGAGCTCGCGACCAGGTGAGCAAGACTTCCCATCAGCATGGACTCAAGGTGCGGCCTCTTTGCCTGCATTCTCAAGTGCCCCGGGTACCACCTCCTTTGGGACATGATTCTTAAGGTTTGCGAGGATGTTCAGGCTGTGGAGGCTAGTTCGTTTTCAAGGCCTCCTGAGAAGTCACAGAGCATGTCTGGCTAACAGCATGCAGTGGCAGTGCTGCGTCCTGTTTCCCCCAGGCGGGCCCAGAGGCACCGACACCAGCTCGGCACCTTCAGATCTTGGCACCGGCTTCCGGTTTCCTCTAGGCACTGTCTTCAGGCACATTGTGTCCTTCCCTTTTCTGGTGATTTGGGAGAGTGATAGTAGGAGATCAGACAAAGCAAGACTACGCCATCCCTGCAAGGAGGCTTCTCCTCCCAGAAAGTCACCCTAACCGATGTGCAGGTCAGAGGTTCACACCTGTTAGGTCAACGCACATGGCACAGTGGGCCACAACACCCCCAGCACAACCAACCACACCAGAAATGCCATCGCCAGGGCTGCCCCTTCAAGCACCGGGCCCTCTGTTTCAGGTGGGCAGGAAGCGCTGCTTCCTAGTGCACACCAAGGTGTATGACAGGACACGCCTGCCTGGGCTCGCACCTGCTCAGCCACAGAAACTCCATGTCTCCAGGAAAGAAACTGAAGCCCTGGTTGCCCTGAGTTCTCTCCTGCCAGGGCTGGAGAAGGGTGGGAAGGGGCGGCCCAGCCTCCTCGTCCCCATAACCATCTGCCCAGCAAGATGCACAGGGTGCAGGCCAGTGTCCTTTCTGCTTATTTTGGCTGATGAGGAAAAGAAACCTTAGGACAGCACAGAAAAAAATCCTGATTGATAGTTTTTCCCACTCTTACTCAAGGTGAATACGTGATTAAGTTTAAAAAGCAGCTGGGGTGGGGCCGGCCCGGTGGCGCACTGCTACAGTGCGCCGCTTGGGAAGCGCGGTAGCGCTCCCGCCTAGGGTTCGGATCCCACATACAGACCGGTTCCCACTCACTGGCTGAGTGAGGTGCGGGCGCGGCACCGGGGGTTGCGGTCCCATTGCCGGTCCCAGTCCGGTATGGACGGGCGCGACACTGAGGGTTGCGATCCGTTGCCGGTCACGAAAAAAGACAAAAAGACAAAAAAAAAAAAAAAAGCAGCTGGGAGGGCCGAGCCCATGGTGCACTTGGGAGAGTGCAGCGCTGGGAGCGCAGCAGCACTCCCGCCGCGGGTTCAGATCCTATATAGGGATGGCTGGTGCGCTCACTGGCTGAGCGCGGTGCAGCTGGTCTCAAAAAAAAAAAAAAGCAGCTGGGAACTGCACAGCAACAGTCAACCAGAGCTGACTGACTTCATCCAGCAACAGGGAGCACACCCCAGGCCCACAGGGAACACTCATGGCAGAGACCACACTTGGCTGGAAGACACACCTGCAAACTTAGAGAAAAATCACACGTCTGCTCTCAGAATGCATGGAAATTAAATGAAATCAAACTCAGAAAGATGGCAGGAAAATCCCCAAATATTTAGAGGTTAAACAACACATTTCTAAATAACAAAAAGGTCAAAAATATGTCTCAAGAGAAACTTTAAAATATTTTTACATAAACGAAAATGAAAGTATAACTTATCCAGATTTGTGGGACAGCAAAAGCAGAGCTTAGAGGGAAACTCAGAGCATCAACTGCATATATGAGAAAAGGAGAAAGAACCAAATGCATCATCTAACCTTCCTCCTTAGGAAAGGAGAAAAAGAGCAAATTAAATCCAAAGTTAGCAGAAGAAGAGAAATAACAAGAATAGAGCAGAAATCAATGAAATTGGAAACAGGAAATTAACACAGAAAAATCAAAGCTAAAAGCAGTTTCTTTAGAAAGATCAATAAAGTCGATAAACCCCGAGCCAGGCTAACCAAGAACAACAGAGAAAAGACAAACCCCTAATGTCAGAATGAAAGACGACACGCCTCTGACCCTCAACCTTCTGTGCGTGACACTGCAACGGTGGGTCCCTGACAAGTGGATTTGCCAAAACCCACAAAACACTACACAGGGTGCCCACGAGTGAGCACTAAGGACTTTGGTTAACAACAGTGCATCGCCAGCTGGGGACCGGGCAGGGACTCCAGGAGGGAAGTGTGGGCACTCTGTCCTCTCTGCTCAACTTTCCTGTAAACAGAAAACTGCTCAAAAGTACAATTTGTTAATTTAAAAAAAGGCATCCAGTGGCCCCGTCCATGCTTCTCAGAAAGGCCTTTCCCAGGCTAGCAAGCGGAGCATGAGCACCAGAGCCCGTCTGCTGGGCCGAGTGACAACCCTGGCCCCGTAAACACCTCTCTCCATGTGTCCCATTCCCAGCAGCCCTGGGCCCAGCAGAACCATCGGGACAGAGGCACCTCAGCACCACAAAAAGAGAAGACGAAGTAACGGGCAAATGACAGAAAAGAAAGGCAGAAACGGTCCAGGGAAAGAAGGGAGCCTGCCTCGCCCCACCACTCCTGCAGTCCCTTAAATCCTTAGCTTTAGGAGCTGGGCCTTGGTGGTGACAACTGTTCACACTGTTTGCCTAGGAAATCCCTCAAACAGGATTGTCTGACACACAAAAGATGGATTTCCCAGATACTCCACAAGAGGCTGGAATCCACCTCTGCTGACTTTCAAGGCACAGCCCACAGCTAAAGGTGGAAGACGTGGGCGTCTCTGGGCTGGTGCTGCCGGGGCTCTCTGTGACAGCTCTTTGATCTGTGCCCCTTTCAGAATACATGGCGTACTTTAACAACAGGCTCGTGGAAACAGAGCTCACAACCTGCCAGGTGTCCTGGGAAGGGAAGGTGAGGAGGGTCCGGTACACGGTCCCCCTCCCCACTCAGCACCGAGAGGGTCCACAGCAGGGAGCGGGCACCAGTCCCTTCGGGAGCTGCAGACTCCTCCTCCGCAGGGAGCCCACCACGCTCACTGCCATGGGAGGGGCAGAGGTGACTAATTCTGCTTCATAAAGTGATTTACCAAAGACCTTTACAAATCATCAATTCCAGAAGGAAGCACGAAATTTTTTAAACTGCCTTTTTTCCCCATTTCTGTGACTCACTGATGTCTCATGTTGGCCTATTTTTGAGATACTTTCTTTCCTGAAACATGCCTTTTTCCTGTGAATTACAGAGCAGATGGATTCAAGAAACCACACGCCACCCTCCGCCCTTCTAAAAACTATAAATGTGACCTTTCCAGTGAAACAACCACTGCACAGGAAAGATGGTAACTGCAGTTTTAAAGGTCAGTTTGAGTCTCACGGAGCCTCCTCCCTGCATGGCCACTTCACAGGAGGGCATTGTCCAGATGAAGCACTCAGCGCGGTGAAGCACTGGACACGTGATGAAGCACTCAGCGCGGTGCCTGCCGGGTCCCCTCTCCCTGTGCGCAACAGCAGGCATTTGCCTTTCATGACTCACAAATCCCCAGGAGACCTGTGCCACTGGGGCCGGCATCCTTGCTTCACAGATGAGGTTCGCCAGGCCATGGGCACACGAGGGGCCTTATGGCATCAAGTATGAAATAATTAGGAAAGATTCTGCCAGCTGTAAGATGAACACACAGCATTCGTATTTATAGCTCGGTGGTGACTAAACAGCTCTGAATCTTGATTGTGATGGTGGCTACACAAATCTACACACGTGACAAAGTTGCGCAGAATATCACAAGAGCCGAAAGGTGAAAGCAACCCAAGTGTCCCTCAACAGATGATGGATAAACAAAGTGAGGTCCATCCATACAGTGGAGTATCTCTCGGCCTTGAAGAGGAAGGAAATCCTGCCATTTGCTACCACGTAGGTGAACGCTGAGGACATTATGCTGAGTCACAAAAGGACAGACACTGTGATTCCACCGGCATAAGGTTTCTAGAGCTGTCACATCCACAGAGACAGAGAGCATGTCAGCAGCTGCCAAGCACTGGGGGAGGGGGTGGGAATTACTGTCTAACAAGGAGAGTTTTGGTTTTGCAAGATGGAAAGAATTCTGGAGGTGGGTGGTGGTGATGGTCGCACAATACTGTAGGCGCATTTAATGCTACTGCACTGGACACTCAAAAATGATTAAAAGGGTAAATTTCATGCTATGTGTATTTTACCACAATAAAAAAAACTGGAAGAAGACTGCATGGATCACACACACACACACACACACACACACACACACCTGTGTGTGTAAACTGGTGAAATCTGAACGGAGTCTGTGGACTGCACAGTGAGCACCCTGGTGTGACCGTGCGCCAGGTGTACACGAGGGCCCCATCAGGAGCACGGCCCTTCTGGGTGACGCTCGGTCTCTGAGAACAGACAGAGGAGCACAGACGTGCTCGCCATCGTTCCTTGTGTACCACTTTTTTTTTTTTTTGCCATTTCCTGTGAATGTATAACCATTTCAAAATTAAATAAAAAAACCAAAAGGCAAGAAATATGAAAAGCTACACTTGCCAATAAAGTCAAACCTAAACCTGGGAGAAAACCACAGTGCAGACAAAAAGGCAAAAGCCACATCTGTGGGCTGCTCACAGCAGCATTTCTGATTAGGATGCCGCGGATTGTTATTTCAGAATAAAAGCGGGGGGTACACATGCCAAAATGAAGAACAGGGATGTGCGGTCACACGGCACGTGGTTCTGGACCTCGCCTCCACACGAGGGTTCCGAGTCGTGGAGCAGGTGTGCGGCCACGGCGCTCCCGGTGTTCACGTCCGTCTTTCCCGTCAGCACCCTGCTCTCCTACTTTGAGTACAGTGTTACTGCTGCCAGTAATTACAGCATCTTTTAATTCCCACAGCACATGTGGACTCCTTGGCCACTGTTTTCCTCTGAAGCAGTTAATTAAATGTGATGCACAATCGGGACGTGTCCCGTGAGGGCCAGGGAGGCGCACTGTGGCACAGCTCCTTAATTCCCGAGAAGGGCCTCCATATCCCCTCTGGCTGGGCTCTCCTTCAGCTTCTGTGTAGCCTGTGACCTCGGCAGAGCCACAAAGTCTGGCTGAGCTTGAGGTCCCCGGTGGACATGGGGACACACAGGCTATCTTGGCCTTTCACCTAAAACTGCCTTGGCCATGGGGCACAGAGCCTCTCCAGGTGACCCACAGAACTGCTTCTGCTAGAGTCTCAGGCAAAGTCCTCATGAGGTGCCTATTTTGGGGATTTTGTCCACGACACCATCCGCCACTAGATGAAAATAACTACCACTGCTGCTCTGAGATGCCTCAGGCACTACTGAGCCACACATACGTCAACCCGAGCACTGTGCACAAATGCACATCCCAGGTGAGGAAACTGAGGCTTGCCGAGGATGACCACGCCTCCAAGTTCACTAGTGATGAAGGTGTTGAGCTCTAGGCAGGGACCCTGCACTCAGTCATGAACCTGTGGCCACTGTGCAGCCAGCTCACAGTGGGGCCTTTTAGCTGCCCCCTGCCATGGACCCGGGCTCAGGACGGTCCCACAGAAACTGGCAAGAGTTTGTGCTCCAGCACAGTGACCCCCACTGTCTCTTTGTACAGGTGAGCCTGGGAGCAGCCATATGGGGATGGAAGGGCTGGCGGCCCGGAACCCTGCATCCATGTGCAGCTGCTCACATGAGGGTCTGGGACCCCCAGCACCTGTAGCCCCCACAGTCTCCCCTGCTGGGGGCAGGAACCCCCAGTCCTGTGTGGTGAGGTCAGGGAGCTCCTTCCCTGGACAGGGCCAGGACCAGTCCCAGTTAACACATTGTCCAGGTGGGACCCAGGGATGTTCAGACAATGGGAACTAGTGAGACTGCTCAGTTCTTACAGCTCAAACCCTTCTTCACCCGGAGAACAAGCAGGCGGCCACCAAGCAGGGTGGGGGAGTGGGGGCTGTTCCACTCCAACCCCAGAGCTCCATCTTTTCTCCCCCAAATTTCCTCTTTACCTTCAATTATGTGTCACTGTCCCCACCATTTTATGTATTTTTAAAGATGCTTCAATCACACCTGACAAGGTGGGGCAATAACCAAAGGGATAAACAGAATTAATAAGCGTATGCTCAGTCTTTGAGTACAAATAGGTGAATAAAAAATCTAGTCATCCTCATTCCCCATTAATAGTGGGGAAGCCCGCATATCTTTCTTTAGCCACAAATGGGGTCTGTTCTCTCCCCAAAACCCCTGCACCCCCGTGGCTCTCGTTCCCAGGGCTCTGCCAGGGCCTCACCTGCACCTCCGAGTCTGCGTCCACATGCTGTAGCTGGAACCAAGTGTCCCGGTTGTGGTACTTGTGCAGGTCCTCCTTCTGAATGGCCACTTTCCCTACAACACACAATGCAGAGGAGAGGCACTTCACAAGAGGGCACACATCATCCAGATCCGGTAAGTCCACGATCGGAAAGAGAACTCTGTGTCACCCTCCTTCCAGGACACTTAACAGATATACAAACGTCACCCCCACTAACAAAGCACGTTTCAGGCTGCACTTCAGCTGTGGCCGTGAACGTGCCTGTGCTCTCCATGGGAAGCGTGGTGTCTTCTGTATATAAGCATTTCCACCCTTCGCACGTTATCTGAGGTAGCTGCAGTGCATCCGCGAGAGAGACTCATTTCACAGACACCGCGACGGCTCTGCCAGGCGCCTGCACAGCAAACTGCTTCCAACCTGGGAAATTGGAGGTGGAGGCAAGTCTCGAGGGCAGGTGGTGGTCACGGTACCTCTGCCTAATGTCCTTCCCACGAAACAGACAGGAGTAGAATGTATGAAGATTTAATTGAAATGTGTGTGTGCACTCACGTGAGCTTTAGCTTAGAACGCACGTGTGTATATCCATACTTAGCTTATACAGTGTGTACATGGGTGTGGGTGCACATGTGCACAGGGTATGGGCATGTGTATGCAGGTGTGTGTGTGTGTGTGCATGTGCGTGTGTGCACGTGGGTATGTGCATGAGTATGCATTTGTGTATGCGTGTGTGGGGGTGCGTGGGTGCATGTGCATTTATATATGTGTGTGCACACGGGTGTGTGCATGTAGGTGTATGTGTGTGCATGTGGGTGTGTGCGTGAGTATGCATTTGTGTATGTGTGTGTGAGTATGCATTTGTGTATGTGTGCATGTGTGGGTGCATGGGCACACGTGCATTTGTATATGTGTGTGCACAAAGGTGTGTGCACATGGTTGGCTCTCATGTGCACCCAGGGTGTTCACAGCAATGGCTGACTTGAGGGTGCAGCTGGACCAGCTCAGCCTTCCCACTGCCAGCACAAGTCTAGTCCTTGAATCAGGGTCTTCCCGAGTGCAATCAACATGTGGCCTGCATGGAAGCACCTGCAGGGTTTCTAAGAGTGCAGATTCCTGGGCACTGTCCCAGATGGAGGAAACAGTGTCTGTGTGGAATCTACACTTTCACAAGGTCCCTGGGCACTTCTGTGGGCCCTAAAGTTTGGGGACTTTCACTCTAGTTTTGTGTTCCTTACACAGGCTTGATACTTTGAAGCAAGAATTTCAATGAAAATACATGCACAAATATGATATACATTACCTAGTACAGATTTATAATATTTAAATATGCATATATAACCATTATGAATCTACTTATACATTCAGCTTATTCCAAAAAAGTACTCCAGGTAGTTAGAAAACATGGACCCATCACAGGCTGGGAGAACAGAGGGCAGGAGGGTCCTTGCTGGGCATGGGGCACTGCACCATCCTGCTGTCCCTGCATGCACCAATAGCCTCCTGCGCTGTGGACCACACTACCACCAGGGGACAGAGGTCACATCACAAAACATGTGCACCTCTGTGGATACAGGCACTGTGGACACACGCATGTATGTGCACACACACGATGTCTTCATACTAGAAAGCATACACAAAAACGGAAATGACAAAGGAAATATATAAGTAAATATTAGAAAAAAGTTTCATCGTTTTCTTTCTGCACCCCCAAGACACACACACCTTACTTAGAGGTCACGGTCTAATTAGCAAAGTAAGAAATTCTGGGTCCCCTCTGACCCGTTCTGCCCAGCGTCCATCCACGGCAGGATCTGACCCTCTGAGAATGTCCCAGGCTCCCTGGGTGTGGGTTGGGGGATGAGAACCTAACTGGACACCTTGCCTTTCCCCGGGACACCAGCCCTGCCCCAGAGCCCTGTCCTCTGAGAAAGATCTTTTCACATCACGTTTCTCAGAAAACCTTCACGGGTGCCCAGCCTGGCTTCTACCGGTTTCAAAATCTGGCCTGGCCCTCTCCAACTTGCTCTGTAATTTCTAGAACATTCTACCTGTCAGCCCCTTACATCCTTCATCTCATTTCATCCCACAGGAATCCTGGGCGCAGGGGGTGGCTTCTAATACACACACTTCACAGATGAGAAGCCAAGGCTGGGCATGCCCACAGGACGGTGGCCCTGGCCGCAGGCTCCTCCCTCCTTGTTCCCTGCCTTTCTCCCAGCAATCTCTCCTTCCTTGAGTGTCCTCGCCTGGTGATGCCCCTTGGATGGCACCTTCCCTTTGGTGCTGCCAGGACCTGCTGGGGCCCCAACTCTCTTCTGCTTCCAGAGGTTCACGGAGCAAGACCCTGTGACATGAGAAAAAGCAGCTGCTATGGGTCCTCATCCTTGTCTGGGAAGGTGCTCTGCGCCAGACGGACCCACCTCTGCTCTGGCTCCAGGTCCCAAGAAGTGTGTACCACATGCCCTGGGGCATGGATGGGCTTGGAGGCAAAACAAGCGCAAAAGTGCCCCAAGTGCCAGAGGTATGAATGCGGAGTCGGGGAAGTTTACTCCCCTGCCACCTGCCTTCAACCTCCCTGTGCTGCCCCATGTGCCTGCATCCATCATTTCAGCAAATCTGCACCATTGCGTGTTCTGCACCTCACACCTACCACTCTGCACAGTGGCTTCAGGACAGACCCTGCAGCAAGCAACCCCCTTTCCCAGTACACTGCAGCTCCATGAACCATGCTCAAATGGGTCAAGGCCCATCGATTCCACACAGCCACTGCAGGCCATCAACACTAGCAGGTGGGAAAGCAAGAGAGGCAGAGAGAAGGCAAGGGAGCCACATGCAGCCAACAGGCATGGGCACAGGCTGGAGAGCAAATACCACAGAAATTCAGAGAGAAACCAAAATCAAACACTAGGTAGTCTTTCCCCCAACTAGGACTCACGAGGGCATGACAATGCCCAGGCCTCAGTCATGGCTCCTGCGACTGCATTTGCCCCCAGCCCCTGCCTCGCCTCATGGCACCCAGCCTCCCCTTGCTGAGCATCCTGTGACCTCTTCACTGCTGGGCCCCACAGCCGCTGTTCATCCTCCACCTATCTGAGAGAGGACTCCCCTTCCCCTCTCTCTGCCAGTTACTGCGTGCCTCTTACAAAACTTCACCCTTTTCCGCATGATGGGAATATGATTTTTGAGTCTCACAGGAATAAAGCCACACGAAACAAAAAATTTCTTAAAATTGAATTGGGCAATATATTTAGAGAAAAGGGATAAAGAAATTTTCAGACTCCATGATTAGTTCAGCTGGGTGGGAGGATTACTTTTGAAGTTCGAAATTTTAAGTAAGTACAATGTTATTGCTTCTTTGCATTTTTGCAAGGTAAATGCCCACAGGGGTCATTGAATATGGGGAACCAGTTACAGAAGCCTCGAGGAGCTGAAAGAGGAGCCAGAAAAGGGGAGATGACCAGAAATGGAAAACCACAGGAAGAACTGCCAATGTCACACCGACTGGCAGACCACCAACCCCTGCCCGGGATCAGGAATGCAGGAAAGATGTGGCTCCTGTCACTCCTATTTAACCTTGCATCCCAGCCAGCACGAAGAGGCAACAGGAAAGGGAAACAAAGCACATGCAGACTGCGAAGGAAGAAATAAAAGTCTTCATTCTAGAATCTACGAAAAAAAATCTACAAGAGCTTTTATCCGTGGGCCAGAAGACTCAATTTTATTAAGATGGTGACTCTCCCAAATTAATCTATAGACCAATGCAATCCCAATCAAAATTCCTGTTAGATTGTTTTAGAAGTTGAGAAGCTGATTAAAAAATATATATGAAAACTCAAGGACCTAGAAAAGCAAAATGAACTTGGAAAAGAACAGTGTTGGTGACCTCACACTGCTGGCAGACTCGAGAAGCTGCATGGTCGAGATAGTGTGGTGCTAGAGGAAGGATATGCAGTTGGGTGGAATGGAACAGAGAAGATGGAAACAAACCCACATGTACACAGCCAACTAATCTCCAAAGAGGTGCCAAGGTAACTCAACAGGGAAAGGAGAGTCTTTCAACCAATAGTACTGGAACAAATGGACATGTACGAGGGAAAAATGAACCTTACCCTTTCCTTTGTGCCATATGTAAAAGTTAACTTGAAATAGACCATAAGAGAGGACTTCAAGGAAAATGGCAGACTAGAGGTCCCCAGGGCATGTTCTTACACAGTAAAATATTAAAATAGACCCACTGCCACCACTGCTAGTCACCAGAGCCACTGTCTGGTCCTAGAACCTATCGCAGAGCAGCTCTCCACAGAGCAGCAGTCCTGTGGGTGGCCCGTCGCTACAGCCACAGACTCAGCAGACACACGGGAGGTAGCCACAACTGCCACAGTGAGTTAACCCCACTGCCACCAGGAATACTGCACATGTAAGAGAGATGGCTGCAGCTGCTGGCACCACTGCCACTAAGGACACTGCAGACATGAGGGAGGTAGTTGCAGCCATGCAGCCACCATCATCTTGTGAGAAGCCCACCATGGCTGGAGCCACCACTGCCACATGGGCAGCCCTCCAAAGCCACTGCCACAACCACCACTGCAGCAAGGGCATCCTGCTACCACAGCAGCAGCCACTGCCACTGTGAAGGCAGAGAGCTGACCGCTTGACTGCATTGATACAAAGAGGGTCACCAGCAGATGCAAGGAAGGAAAGTAACAGAAGAAGCAACTGGTCTACCAGATGACCAGTCATCAACATAGAAATACTAGAAATAAAAACCAAGCAACAACGACAAAAAAAGTAAATATGAGACCACCAAAGGAATACACTAACTCCCAAGTACTGGACCCCTTAGAGCAGGAAGCCTTTGAAATGGCTGAAAAGGAATTCCAAGTAAAAATCTTAAGGAAATTCAATGAGATACAAGAAGACACAGTTAGGTGATGCAATGAATTGAGCAAAACTATCCAGGATATGAAAGAGAAAATCCTTAATACTTTAAAAAAGAATGTAGCAGAACTCATGGAACTGAAGGAGTCTTTCAAAGAAATAAAAAACACAACTGAGAGCTCAAGCAATAGGCTAGAGC